ACGAGCTGGGACAAGCCAGGCAGCGAGAGGGGCTGGTGACCCTCCGGAGAAGCTGGGGGGGTCTGTGCTGGCACCAGTCCCACCCGCCTGCCCCAGCCAACACTGGGCACGACCCCGAGGTCGGGTTTGCTCAGGTGACTCCGACGCAAAGCTCGCAGGGACACGGAGAGGCTCCAGCACGTAGCGATCAGAGGGCGAAAGTTCTCAGCCCTAGAAATAATTTTAATTCGGGGAGTGCGGTGTGTGTGCGTGTTCCTCGGCTTCATTCCCTCTTCAGGTTTCACGGCGGTGTGACGCCCTTAACTTCTGCTTGATGTCACTGAGGGAAGCAGGTCCGACGGGAATCCAAACGCGGACGAGGTTCTTCGTGTGCTCATGTGTGCGCAGGATCAGACCTTACAGGGATTTGGAGAATGTGGGTCGTACAAAGAAGAATAAGGAAAGATGTATTTCCCTTTGGGATGGGAATGTTTATGTAAGGCAGGGTTCTTTAGCTAGGTTTTGGGGTAGAATTTTCTGACTTTACCCTTATCTTCCTTTTTTGTATGTTTTTAACAAGTAAACCCAATAGAAAATTGGGCTTTTTCCGCTCCTTTTTGTCTGCCTTTTGCTTGAAAACAGCTAAAACACTGTATAATTACAAAACAAAAATCTCCTGCCGTAAATGACAGCTAGTATCCTTCAGAGGGTTTGAGTCTGCTGCGCGCTCAGCTCCCCTGGGATGTTCTGAGTTCTTTCAACTCGGGCGTCTTCTGTGGGAGCTGGGGATGTGCAGTCTGTCCTAGAGCTAAAGCCAATGTGACATTAATGAGATGCTGTCTTTTAATAGTTGCGCTTTGTTGTCAGCGTTGGTTGATTGCTGTCTTTGTGGAAAATGCAGTATTTTTTTATTCCCAGGTTTTAGGCTCATTCCTACCTGAAATGTTTCTCCCGATCAATTTCACCAGACTTAAACTGTGGCACTTCAGAAAATTCCCTGGCCACGAGTTCTAGTTCCATGGATGTAATAAAGGTCAAGAAGTTCCTGTATAATTTAAACAACAACTCAAAATGGTGATCAAAGTTCGTGTTGTGCTTTAAGTGGAAAATCAAAGTTAAGTATATTCATTTACTTGTGATGTCTGGATGGCAGTACCAGAAGATTTTCTGGTTGTTATTGACTGTGGGGTACAAAAGTGAGTTAGAAGTGAAAGCCTTAATTACTTCTCCCTGTTATTGCCTGTCTTGAGAAAACCACTACCAGTGCTAATGTTTCCAGTTTAACACTACTAAAATCCATTCATGCCTGTGAGCTGAGAGGAGGAATGCTTAAGGGGGAAGCTTTGCGGTTATCATTGACAACCACTGTTGTCTGGAGGACGAATCGATGAGATTCAAGGAACAGCCCACACCTAGAGGCGTCAAACAGAGAATGCCCATCTTAGCTGAACACTGCGTGTGGACAGTGATGTTAATAACAATTATTAACTTAAGCTAGTTCCTGAACTGTAGAAATGTAAATGCACAATCCTTGAGGTCTCAGGAAAGGTTTATGCTCCAGACCATGACTCTCACTAGGACACTGGGGGAATCAGATGATTTGGAAAGGGACTGAGTTTGCTGTCTTGGTTTAGCACAGCACCAGCTGACAAAGCACCCAGAGAATAAACAGCAAAACTGTGAATCATTCATTTTGGGGGAGGAGGGAAGCTCCAATGGCATGGCACCGGGGAAGAGGTGTGTCACCTGTGCTGCCTGCCCTCTCTGCTTGGCAGGCCTGTTTGCAGAAGCCAGAGGCCAGGCTGTCCTCTTCAAGATCACCCTGGAGCAGTGGTGCATCTCAGTTTCTTAGCATCTTCACTCCCCGTTTCTTGTACCTCTCCAGTTTTCCTCGCCTTCCCTCCTCGTAACTCTTCTGCAGCTATGACCAGCCTGAAAGAAATCTGTCATGGCCTCCCTCTATACCCTTTGCCTGAAAATAGAGGTCGGAGGAATGGAATACCCCATGCACCCGTGAGAACCCCCAATCTCACTGCTCAGGAGAAAAAGGTAACATGGGGTTTCACAGGGCCTCACTTCTCTTCCTTTCAGAGAAATGCAGCTTGAGGCAGCAGACCTGATTGCCTCATACGCTTTTCTGAGCGTGCACCTGGCTTTGTGGCAAATGTATTTCCTTGGTGTTATAATTTCAGTGAGTAATGGGACAAAGTGCTGGAAACTCTTCTGCTTGCTTGCTTTCTTCCTCCCCCAGAGGTAAGCAGGTTGAGATGAGGTAGATTTGCTGCACAACAGCTTCTGTGACTTTAAATGTCTAAACAAGAGGCATTTAAATGTCTAAATTTCAATGCTGTCAATCCAGCATTGTTCCTTGGAGGTGAAATTATGAATGATGTTGCAAAAACACTGCTATATATGGGAGTGAAAGCTAACCCCTCAGATACAATGAACATCTAATGTGGTGAATCAACATCACGGGACAAGCTACACATCTGTATATTTGCATAAATGATCCAAAGATAATTCATTTTAACCAGCAGTCTGAGCGTCCTGGAATTTAGGCAAGTTTGTAGGGTGTGGAGTTAATTATTTGTCTTTAGTTGTGTAATTCTTCTCTTGTCTCTTTTTGTTTGATTAGTCTACATAAACACTAAAGTAATCATTGCATTATTTCATGTTAGAGATTTAAAAAAAAAAATCGTCAGCAGAAGTTAATGGTCAATCGGTAGAGATTTTTAGGAATTTGTGTGGGGGAGGATAAGGTAGGTTCCTTAGTCTGAAAGTCTGTGCTCCATCAGATATAACATCACTTATAATGTGACATTCTGGTGAGAACACAGAAGGTGCTTCCCCACTAACAAGCTGCATGCAACTTCCTTGCCTTCGTGGGAGTTCCCCACTGGCATCAGCAGCCAAATTCTTTCAAAGTCAACTTCCATGAACAGAGGAGGGCCTAGGCAAAGGGTAGAAAGAGGAACAGCTGTGAGATATGCAGAGAGGATTTACTTCAAAGTCAGGAGCACTCATGGCTGAGGCATCCTGTCTGTGCCTGGGACAGCTCAGACATGAAATTGTGGCTGCTAAGTGTGGAGAAGGGGACTGTGGTATGTGGTGATGGCTGTGAAGATAAAGGAGCCGGGATTGAGCTTCACTGCATGTCAGAACGTTGCCAATCATCTCCATTTCATTCCTTGCCTTTGCTAAGTCACTTTTCCCCAGGAGAAGTCTGCTATAGCATGAAGGAGTCCATGTTGCAGGACAGGAGAAGGTATCTCTCAAAAGGATGCCAAACCTTAACTCTTTACCTGGGGAGAGAAAGACAGTGATAAAGTCCTCATTCCCTGTACAGAAACTGGAATAGTTTCCTGCCTCCTTTAAGAGTTGCAGGGAGACAGCAGCAGACTTTTTCTGTCTCCAGTCTACTGTCTAACATCCTACCATCATGTCTCCTTCTTACCTACCACATGTGAAAAGAGGCTGTGCTAGCTGACTTCTTCATTAGACATTTAAAGATTTAAAAGCTTTCTTCCTGATTTATTTTACTCTTTATCCTCCACCTTAAACTCTTAACAGAGTTGGAGGCTCAACTGGTATTTCTTTTATATCTGAAAGGTCAAATCTCTTTTTTTTAAGATGTGTTTGATGCTTAGAAAAGCATGTAGACAGAAAGATTGTCTGTCTACAAGTTGTTTTTTAAGTCTTGAGACAGGCTTCCAGATTTGTTGCCAGTGTGTAATGCTGAGCATATTGCAAGGCTTGTTGTTATGTATGACACTGTGTTCATTTTCTAATTGAAACACTGAGGGGAAGCTTTGACAGAAGTGAAGTTAATGCTCTGCTGATTTCCTCAGGATTTGTCCCTCTCTTCATATGCCTTCATTTCAGTTTTAGCCCTTTCTGCATTAATAAACCTTAGCACTGCCAATATTTTATTTTCTTGGGCCTCCTTTTGTGGTTGTAACAGAAATCCTGTAAGTGAGATTTATAAAGTATTGAGAGTTTTGGGGCTTGCTGAAGAGGTATATAATTCTTCCTATTATATCAAATTTAATCGTCCTGGAGAATTCAAGCCATTTCTCAGAACTGATTCTGTTTAGATGTTTCCTGAGTTCTCTTCCTTCAGCATTCTTTGCCTGAGGCCTGAAAGAGCCATATGCTCTCTCTTTCCCTCCACAGCTCAGGAAACCCCAGCTTCCTGTTTCTCGGCATCTGTATCTAAATGTAAATACGCTACAAAGAAACTGCCCCTAAAATCTTATGTGTGGTGTGTCCTTTGCAGAACAAGGATGTTGCATGCTCAATGCTCATTGACATTCCAGTAAAGCTGGAGCAGCTTGGGAAGAATGTGCATTTCCCAGTGTTGCTCAGAATCAGAAAAAATGTTATGTCTTCATCCATGCAGTAGTTCCCTTACGCATCCTAGAGCCAAGTCACATTACAGTCTTTCTGCTATCCCAGCGCGATCATTCGTTACCGGATTGTAGTATCATTTGTGTTTCAGCCACAGAGCCCTGGAGTCAGTAATGGGCCTTGATGACCTTGACGAGCCTCACCTGAGATCCCCACCCACACCCTCTGCCCATAGGCTTAGGGGCTCCATTTAACCGCAGGCCTGGGGCTTCAATCTCAGTTGTGCCAGAGATGTGTCTATTTCTAGTTCTGGCATGGGGTGTCCCTGTGCCTAGGCAAGGGTCTCAGTGATCTGATCTACAGCCTGTGGGCTGACTTGTCACTATGAGCCTTCCTGGTGATCTCTGGGCCCTATGTTGCTGTGCTCGTCATCATCAGACCTGATCCTGACTTGCACTCCTGGCTTGGCCTCGGACCTGCACGTCACCATAATCTTGCCTGATGACCTGGACTCCTGGTGGAACTTGGCTGCCTTCCCTGGGCTGCCCTGCTCGTCCACTTCAGGTACCATGAGGCTGGAGCCTGGCTGGTGGGGTGCCTGTCCTGCTGTCTGTGTTACTCTGCTTGGCTCCCTATCCCTTGGGGAGCAGCTGGAACTTACTCTTTCATGACATCCTCGTGCAAAGAGCAGAAAACCAGAGCCTGTGAAGTCACACAGCACCTGAAGTTCTTCAGATTTCTGGAGAAGATGCAGGCTGTTTCACCTTAATGGTTGCTTTACACATCCAGAAATGAGATCACTTTTAAAGGTTTACGTGTGGTTTGGGAAGGCCAACTTGCTGGCTCCTGTTTTGCAACATCTGGATGATAAAGAACTTGGTTAAACTTTCACATACCACAGGGCGTTTATGGCGATGGCCCATCAGAAATCACCATGTTTACTTCCCAACTGAGCTTCTCTACACTGAGGCCTATCAGGAATAATAATATATGAAACAACCATCTTGCTTTTACAGTTGCTGTTTAGAGAATAATGCCACCAAAGACTCTGGGCATAGGTATCATCAGGCAGAAGCTGACAGGTGAGAGGCAAGCAACATCTCCACTGGCAAAAGGGCAGAATTAAGAATGAAACTGTTGTAGAATAAAGCTAGTCACTTCCTCTACTCCTGATTCCCTTTCCCTCAATAAACAGGGAGACCACAAATCTTAGCATTTGAGTGTCTCAGGATCCTCAAATTAGAATTCTTGATGCTCTTGTTATAAATTGGAAATGAATGACATTCCTTCCGAAGAGGCATTGGCTCTTCAATGAACACCAATTAACAAAGAGGCTGGTATGCTTAATTTCTCAGGAGAACCCCCCAACAAAAATATTTATAGCTGATCAAATGGAGCAGGATTTCATGGGTTCTTTTGAGTGCACTTTGACATTGAGAGGTCTGAATCTTGATTAAATAGCAGCAGGATCATGTTTTACTGTATAAATGCCAGTGAATATAAAAGAAGACACCCTAACAGTGACTAGAACTTAAGCACAAGAATCAAATGTAAGATCCAGCTGGCAGATCTAAGAGGAAGACTTTGCATCTGATGCTTGCCTTGCACTGAGCTGAACTGAACCAGTAACTCGGCAAATTCAAAGTACGCTTTTGAAACAACGTATCAGGCTCAGGAGTATAAGTGCAGTTGATCCTATTCTTTTTAAGACACCAGTGAATTCTGGACCTGTTTTTTTAGAGGTTCTCAGCACATACAGCTTAAGCTTCTGTCACTGGAAGTAGAACACCTAAATATCAAATGCATGATGTCTAATATTCAGAATGCAATGTGTCAGTTACAGGTAAATCAATCCTACTTAAAGTTGGAATAATGTTTTATATGGTGCTTTAATGAAATGTAAGGAATAATGACCTTGTATTGCCTTTCCACAAAAGCATGATGATCAGCCTATTTGAATTTGCTCCTTGAGTGCCTTTCTCAGGCTATTCAGTTTATGACTCAATAATATGAAAAATTCTCCCTGATGCACATGGCAATTGGCCTTTCATAAAGCAGTCAGGATCCATCTAAGCAATTTTAAGTGCCCCAGCTCTCCTATTGAGAGACTGTTTCAGAATCTCTTATACTTAAATTTTTCTCATTTGAGGACTACATTTTTTTATGGCTAATTCACAGCTATTTATTCCTCTTCCAGCATTTCCCCAAAGCCCCTTCCTGCTTTGACATTCAGCCTGCAGTGAGACAGCAATCAAATGTCACCTTTGTTCAGTTAAGCTAAACAAGCCACAGTCTTATTTGTCTTTTATAAGATCAGCTCTCTATTGTCTGTGCAACTGAGGTGCCCTTCCCACCCTTCATGTAACATACAAGTTCGTGTTACTTTAATGTTTGCATCATCAGAATTCAGGCTTCTGCTAATATGTAACATTAATAGGATAGAGGCTCAGTCTAAGCGAATTTATTTGAAAATCCAAACATATTTTGGTTGCTTGTACTTTTAGGGCAAAGAAAAATAATTGCCCATCAGTTTCGTTAGAATGGAAATAATACGTTGACCAAAGACTGGGTGATCCTTGACAGACTGGAAGCAAAACGCTCGTCTTGATAGCTCTCTGTTAGTGCTTATAGGCAACCAAAATGCCAAATTTGGCAATGTTTTCCTCTTGATTTTTTTGTTGTGAGGAGTATAGGTGATTTTATTCTTATTTCAGAAATTTCTTGGATTTAGAACCCACTGTGTGATGGGTGCTTGCCTTTTAGACTGACTGCATATTTTACTATGGTGTAGATATAGCTGGGATTTTTGTGTTTATTAATAATGTGACCTTGAAAAATGACTGCTTATATAACTGGTGAAGAATAAGGTGGTATTTGAAGACGTAATTTGCATTTTCTTATCCGGTAAACAGGTTTTCCCCCTTGTCATTCTCTATGTGGAATGGCAAATCTAATTTGTAGGGTTTTACTGGGCTGTTCCTTGGCTGATGTAAATCAATATAGCTTCACTGATCTGGAAGGGTCTGACCCATACGCCTGTTCAGCAGTAAGTATGCCAGCAAGAACTTCTCTTAGTATGGGGCATTTTTAGATTTAGAGAAGTTGTGTTTTCGGTGTGCTCTGAGGTATGTGAGACCAACGTGCTCAGATGAAGAGGCTGGAGAGTGCTAGCCATAAAAGCCAGACCATAATTGTGTTGAATGATGCGGTTTATTACTGAGCTGAAGGCTTTGTAGAGCTTTTGAGGACTTCTTACCAGGATGGATGGTGCTGATACCTAGACTGGGTGGTTCTAGATGCCTTTGTTCTAGATACCTGTACTGCGGCCCATCCCTTTAATTCCTCCAGAAAACACTTGCTTCCATAACTCTTTGAAGTGCCAATGGCAGGAGTCACAAACATGGGGTATCCTTGCTACACCAAAACTGGGCTTTCCTGGTTGTTTTATAGACTGTTACCAGCTCTGGAAGCAAGCTTGTTCCCTTTCCATGCTTTCCACAGCCATTAAAAATCAGACTAACGAAGACGTGAAATTCCATACAATTTGTGAACCTCCAACTAAATGTGATTTGGATAGTGTTGTCATTTGTCAGGGATCTTACAAGATCTTTTAGCATCTTTGCATGAAATTGGCTTTTTAAAGATTACAAAATCTTTATTCTCATTATGGTTTTAATCAAATGGAACACAGAATACGAAGACATGACTTAACAGACTGTTACTAAAGATAGTGATTTATTTTGTGGTTTCTTTCATCCACAAGGACATACTGTACTTTTCAAACCACTGGTAATGTCTTTGAAGGCAATAGGGAGTATGAGCCACGTAGTATCATCTGCAGAGTTTAATTCAGTGCCTAGCCTAGTAAGCACTTTGGCTAATTTGGAAGTGCTACACGTAGCACCAATGAAGTAATGCAAACACCCTCTGCAATACATTAGGAAGCTAAATGCAGTGAATCTTTAATAAAGCTTAGCCCAAGAACGTCTTCATCTGGGAGCATGTCACATAACTCAGGGCTAAGATGCCTTTTTTGAATGGAAAGTACAGTAGGGTCTTGAGTGTCTCTCGGAGTTCAGGGTCTCAGCATAAGGATTTCTGAACATTGTTTTCCTTGGTAGTTCAGTGCCCCCTAGCATTGTGAGAGGGAATTTGTCCGTGTCTGATATCGATAGGATTGAACACTACTTAACAAATCTCCAAGGACTCTCCATGCACATTTACAGGGGTGGAAAATGGAGGATTACCTGTGTACAGCAATTGAATCTACATGAAAATATGCAGGTGGAAACACTTCAGTAGCAAGAATGAAGCTCCCCTGGTGTGAGCTTGGCCTTTTAAATTTTATCATCCTTGTGATATCTTAGGCAGGCTTCCAACTATGTCTGATTACAGTTCAGGGCCACCCACTTACCTCCATTTCTCTTTTACCTCACTTTTTGTCTCTCCGTTTTTTTTTTTTTGCAGCTGGCTTTGCGCAATGCCTTGCGTTATTTCCCACCTGAAATACAAAAGAAGCTGGCACTGGAATTCGCTGAAGAACTCAGGCTGTATGGCCATATTTATATGTACAGATTCTTTCCAGATATTGAGATGAGGTAAGGACTGGATGGTTGACATTGTATTTGACTGCACTTGCTTACTAGCTTTCACCTGTGGAACTGACCTTTAAATAGTGGCATTGCTGTGTCCTAATTTACCTCTTGTAGAAGTCATGTCACAACAGATTAATGAAGTGCATCTTCTGAATAAATTGGATGATCTGTGTGTCATTAGATAGCAGTGGTTTCCTTTCCAGTGATTGATTCTGTATGTTTTGGGATGCTCTTCTTTAAAGCTGAATAACAATGATCCTTCATCTCCAGCTTTCATCCTGTTCTCTATCCTCATGAGAGTCCCATGGGACTAATAGGGAGACAGCATGCACTCTTCTGGATAGGCTGTGGCAGGGCCAGGACAGTCTCGATGCTGGAAAGCTCAGCACCACTGAACACAGGGAAAGACTTGTGTGTGGTTGTGTGCTTGGCAATGGCAGCTTTACCATACACAGAGATCCTGAATGCTCTGTCCCATGGCAAGTCTTAGTTTTTAGGGGCCAGTCATTACTTGGAGACTTCTGATTGCAACCTGGACAGAAAACTTGCAATAGTCCTGAGCTGCTGCAAGTTAAGTCTCAGTTGAACCAAGAGGTAAGATCAGACGAGTGGATGGCTCGGGACCTACTACTACTGAGTGGCTGGTTGTTTTGCAGTCTCACAGAGAAGGCTTTCTAAGCTAGAAAGAAAGACAGTACACTTTTCTTTCACTGGAACCTGTATCTGACCCTGGTTTTTAATATGCTGTGCCTGTTGATCTTGGAGTATCACTCCATTCTAGGGCTCATGGGGCTAAGGTTTGTGAAGCAGAACAGTTTTAGAGAGGGCTGCCAGGGGCTAGCTGCTTTTTTTAGACTGATTGATTCCTTTTTGCATCCAACGGGGGCCTGGTTAATGTCTGTACAGAAATCTGAATAAAGCAAGCAACTAAAAGCACCGATTTCCACAGACATCTATATTTCTGTGCTGTCCATATTAGTCTGGGATCAGCTGTTGCAGAATTCAGCTAAGGGGAAGACAACTGGAAGACTGTCTGAAAGATATGGCAGAGCTGGACTTCAGAGGACTTTAGTCCTGAACTACAGATGAGGACACTTTCCACTCAGGCTTGGATGAGACAGTCCACCAGCCTGTCTCCATTACTGGTATCAGTGACTCGTTGATAGCTTCAAAAATTGTTTTTTTCTTTGTGATGATTTCACTGGTCACTCTTTATAATAGACTTTTACAGTCTCACATTAAGAAAATGCATTTTGTTCTCTTTAGTCTGGTAGGATTTTATTTTTTTGTTCTGTACATCCCAGGGACATAGTCCAGTTTGGTTCTGTTGCACTTAACACCCAGGTACCCATGCTCAGCTGATATCTGAACTTTGGGTTTCTTATGTCCTGAGCAATATTACGGGGAAATATCTCCTCTTGATGAATTGTTATCATTCCCCAGAAATGCTGTTATTTTATCACATCAAGCTTAGAAAAGCAGAAAATGCTAATAAAGTACTGTGGAAAAACTCAAAAGCTTTCCCTCCTGGTTTGGCAATGACTACAAGGCATTTGTTTCAGTATCCTGATGTAAAAAGCTAGGATAAAGCGCATGTGATCATAGGAGGAGCCCATTCACTGAATCTGTAGAATACAGATTCCAGATCTTGGCTCATGATCTGGTGAGCGGATGTCTAAATTTTTTTGTTGTTAGCGCTCTTTAGCCTAACCTTTTCAGTGTAACCGTCTTCCCTGTACAAAGCAACTGTCGAGCCACTGAAGATCTATGGTTGAGTAAAAGCAAAATAATTTAGAAACCATGTCAAATGATCCTATCTGCTTTCAGGAATTTCCAGCATCTGTAGTGGTGGTGTTGCACTTTTGGTGTCATACCTTAAAGGCCTCAGCACAATTGTACCAAGACCTGTGCAAACACAGCAAAGGAATTGTCCCTACCCTGAAGAGCTACAGTATAAATCCACGACCAGAAGTTTTAGAGCAATTTGATATGAGAAAACAGAAGGTGGAGGAGAAGATAAGTGAGACGATTGCAGCAGTTGGCTCTGAAGCACATTAGTGCTAGGAAACCTGACTCAGAATACCTTTGTGAGGGTTTCCCATACCTCACCTCTCAACTTTCTGGATGAAATACATCTTATCCAGTAAAAAGACCCATATTTCTTCTAATTAGTTCAGTTTTTGAGAGCTTCTCTGGGACTGAAATTCAAGCTGGGTGTTTTCTTAGATAGGATCTTAAATAATGAGGGCTGGTGAGTCTGAAGGCAACTTCCACTGATGCTGTTTCCCTCGGCATTGCAGGACTTAGCTGCTTGACCTGGGGACTGTGCTATAGAGGCCAGTTCCAGCATTTCCAAAATTATCCAGTTAAAAAACAATGGGAGCTCTTGGCCACCATATTTATAGCCAGTTGTGATCAACTGATTCAGCAAATGATAAGCAAAATACAATTTATTTTCTTTGCTTGGTTCTGATAACAGTTAAAACCTGATTTGCCTGTTAAGGTACATATGTCTTTTCAGATATGCATTTTCTTCTTTTTTTTCTTCCTCTCTGAATAAAAGCCTGCAACTGAAAGGAATGTATTGGCATGCAGGGGTGTTTCTGTAGGATATGTTTTTGTGGTTGCTCTTATGAATGAGTTGGAGTGTCTCTCCTAAATTTTTGTGACAACTGTTTCAGAGCATATCCCATAGCAGACTACCCTTGCAAGACCAAATCGGCTGCTTCCATTATGTTGATGATCATGAATAATCTGGATCCTGCCGTGGCTCAGGTAAGGTGCAGTGGAAATAAGGAAGCTGGATTCATAGAGCAGCAGCAAATCTGCAGGTTACTTCCTGGATGTGCTCTCGCATAAAAACCGAAGAATTTAGGCATATAGGTGAAATCAGCCCTTGTGCAGATGATCCTCTTTCCATAGATTGAATAGGATTTTGCTGTTCATAAGCCTTTTGCTGCTTCTGTGCCCCAAGGTACATGCCAGCGCCTTCGTGTGTAGGGCTGGCGGCTGTGTGTTCACTGAGCAGGCCAATTGCAGTGGTGCCAAGGCAGCCTCCTTAGAGTGATGTGCTCGAATGTCCGTTTCTGTGAGGCTAAGCCTGCAACGGCCTGCAGGTGATTCTGTACTTTTCTTGTGGTTATATTTTGATTACTGGAGTTTGGGGTCTTTTGTAATAAGTTCTTTAGTTTCCCACCATGCGCAGTTAATTCTGCGCAGTGGGTCCTGGTCCTAACGCAGACCTCTGAGGCCTCCTACCACACCAACAAGGTTCACGCCAGCTCACACTACGTACATGAGTTTGGTCGCTGTCTGTGAGACAGGTAGAGTTCAGCTCTTAGTACATTGCTTCTACAACATATGTTGAAAAATTAGTGCTGATGCTTCCTGCATCTTTGAAAGCTCGTCCCTTAAGGACAGATTTACTAGGCGATTACAGGACCAAAGTTCATCCGTACAAGCACTACCTGGTGTAATGCATCGCTTTGCAAGTGGCAGGGGAGAGGCCATGCAGCTCTGCCCTGCTGGTCACAGACCCTCCCAGCTGTAAATGCCAGTGGCGACCAAACTGTAAGCTCACTCCGTCCCTCTGTAAGGCAGTTTACTGGGATGTCTGCCTGTTACAGAAACTGCAATCCAGGAATCACTTCATAGTTTTCTGCATCCAAAATACCATTGTAACAATAACAAACACCTAATTTTGAAAAAGAATTTTAATTTTTTTTCTTCAATTATCACTTTTATGATGATATTTTCTCATTTCAAGAATCTACAGGGTGTTGACCTAATAAGTTTTAGAAAAGGTTTATTACTGAGATTAAAAGAAAATAGCACTGAGATACAGTGAAATGTTTCAGAAAAGTGCTTGCCTTATTATTGTTAAATTGCCTTTTTCAGTTTCCCCAGGAGCTTGTCACTTACGGAGGAAATGGGCAGGTCTTCAGCAACTGGGCACAGGTAGGACAGCTTTTGCAACTTGTTTCTTGAAACCCATTTCACCCTCTCCCATGCACATTCTGCTTAGGCAGTTTGTGATAATTCTTGGCAGTTGTTGTCTCAAAATACTCCAAAACATCCTGTCTGGATAGAGGAATGCTCAGTTATGAACTGGATAGATGAGGAGAGTTTTATTTCGTAAGGAGAGCATAGACAGCCTGATAGAAATACTAAACATACCACGCTGTGTATGATGACGTAAAGATTGGTTCTTTGTCTTTCTCTGATGCATTTGTATGTGCCTGTGTGTTTTGCACAGATAGTTTTAGAGTCAAAATGAATTCTAGCAAACAAAAAAAGTGTATCTTTTACTTGTTTGTTTCTGGTACTTTTGCAATGTTTTTCACAACACGTAGTGGAATTTTTTTACAAAACATATGGCTTTGATTTGAGAAAGTGCAATCCTGAGTCTTTTTCCAATTAAACTGGATTAGCTGTAAATATTTACATGCTAGCTGGCCAGATCACACTGCACTTCACTGTGAGGCCTAGCAGCCTTATCCCTGATCGAGTAAGGGCAGGTGGGTAAAAGCCTGTCTAAAATCAGAGCCGGCCCGTTAAAGTTGTGGCTGTATAATCTCTGTTCTTCTTTATACAAAAATGGTAGTAAATACATTTGCTTTAATCCAAGTACTGCAAAATGCACGTGGGAAACATTCTGAGGAGATATTTGGCATTAGACTTTTGTTTTGTATGAGCTCAATTTATACTGTCAAGAAAAAAAACAAAAAAGGTCCTGGCCTGAATGGTCCCCAGGTGTGTGGTGGCAGGAGGAACATTTAATGAACAACCATCCTGAGTGTCTGAGAATAGACACACAAATGCAGTTGTTGTGAACGCCAAAACCACATCATCTTGCAGCCTCTGGTATGCTCCAAGGCCACAGAGCGGGGACAGGTGGAGATGGGGCAGAGGTAAAGCTACATCACCCTGAAGGGCAGCATCCCTCCCAAAGGCTGGGAAGATGATTTCTGATTCTGTAGCTTACATAAGCAAAAGCTGACCGAAAGAGCCCGCTTCTGTCATAAGGGATCATGTATGCCCCTTGTTGTGGCTTTACCTGAATCTGGCCTCTTGCTCACTAAAAAATTAAAGAAAAACTGATGAGTAAATGAAGTTCCTAGCTAGGGGTGAGGAATAGATTCCTCACTGCAGCATGGAACCTGGGTTTTCTTCCCAGTTTGACTGTGATTTTTCATTTATGGCTAAGAGAAAACTCATGCTTCAGTTTCCTAAGCTGGTAAATGGGAGTGAAATGGATGTCTTAGGCAGCTTTTGAGGCAAAACTGTTCTGACTTTAAAAAAGAAAGGTACCATGGCAATGCACACCATTTCTATATTCTGTATATTGATTAGTTAATGCCTGTTAACTCCATGAGTTTTACAGCATTTCTGATGTAAGCAGTGCCAGCAGTTTATATAGTGGCCTTCGTTGGACTGACGTCCCTTAGGCAGATGCTGGGCTGAAAGGTGAAGTATAAGCACTGCCAAAGTCTGAAATATTCTCTTTTCTTCCATTCTCATACAAACCAGAGCTATGACCCGCAGTTGTTTCATAGCAGAACAAACATAACCTTTTAGTTTTTGCTTACTTAGAGTAGCAATCACATGAATGATTCAGTTTAGAACATTGTGTTCTGTTTGTGGCTTGAAAACAACATGCTTTTTAGAAATCTGTCATTGCAAAATTCCTAGTGAAAAGGTTTAGTTTGGTTTATATCATCCATGCAGACCTGCGCTTTCTTCTGCGTAACATTAAAGAATGAACCATGTCCAGAGCTAGCTTTACACGCCTGCAGACAACAGAACTGCTCTTGAAGCTAGGAAAGGCTTTTGCTTCCTCCTTACTAGTTGTGTCTTTCAATGCAAAAGGATCTAAATATCTTACAGCTTCTAGTTTTAACATAATGTTTTTCCCAGCCTGCTAAGGAGTTGACAGTTCAGCTAGTTGCCTGTTCTGTCCTAGCACCAAAATTTGATGGTTCAACATTTTTCATGAAACAAAAACAAAACAAAAAACAAGACAGTAATGCTAGTAACTCTCTCCTGCTCAACTTAACCTGCAGCTTGGAAATTAGTCGGGTTAGAAGGAACTGGCTTTGAATCAATACCAGTTTTAATTCAGATCATATACACAGAGAGATGAAGTGCCCATGACAACTGATACTGCTGTCTTTGATCAGCAGTTCCATTTTTCTCAAAACCTTCTCTGTATGGCTACAGAAACTCTCGTTTCAAGCTATTGTGGAATTCCAATACTGCATTGGAAAGCTCCTCTTGAGCCTAGCTGTCACATGTGAAAAGTCCCATGGAATATAATGGGCTTTGTGATAGACAATGATGGATGAGAGTCAAATCTACAGGCAGCTTAGATGGTCATAGCCTACTTTTTGGCATAGATTAAGAGTAACTTTTGAATTATGCAGACAACTTTGAGATGCATTTATTTGTATACTTCCGGTTGCCTCAAGGATGCTTTTTGCTATCTACAATGAAAGTTGAATTTTTTCTTTGAGAAGAAAAATTATTTAATTTTTTTAAGGTCACATTGTAATATGTGTTTGAAAACATGACAAGCACCAGAAGATGCTGAATTATCCATTTCAGGTTAGGATCAGCAATATGCGTGGTTATTTTAATCACTTTTATAGGGAAAATTTTGCAGTTTGGCTTTAGAAGGATTGCCAGAAAAGTGCCAAATCCAAATGGTTAATCTCAAGATAAAATTAGAACGGCTTTAAAAATGAAGCATTTCTGGTGTTTGGACTGGAGAAATTATTCTGGAACTTTTTCAGACTTTTGCTAGTTGGTGATTTATGTTTCCTGCTGTAGTGATGTCTCTTCACTGACTTTATTAAAAGCAAGAATGTGTTGAGAGCTCTGGCTGTTATTCCATATATGAATATACCTCATTATCTCTATAGTTGCCTTCATACTCAGAATTTAGCAGCTTCACAAAGAAGCATAAAAGTAGGATGGAAACAGATTCCCTCACTTTCCTCATTTTTCCTTTCAGTTCTGGTTGGTAATGCACTATTTGTCAGAGATGACTGAAGAGCAAACATTAGTAATGTACAGTGGACATCCTCTGGGACTCTTTTTTCTTTCCCAGCCATCACTATGCTCCTCGATTAATCATTACTAATGGCATGGTAGGTGTTTGCATCTTGTTTTCTCTTTTTCTTCCTCTCTGTTTAGTTTTCAAGTGTTTGCCAAATTAAAATATTATTTATACTTCCTGGACTTACAACAGCACACAGGAGTATCTGGGGTCCAAATTCTGCACGATTTATTCCAGTACAGTTGCTCTCACCTCAGGTGTGCTGATCTGCAGTGATGGCAGGAACAGTCCTCTGCTTATGAGACAACTTCTGTTCTGACTGAGCCTGAGCTGCACGCTGTCATGACGAAACAGTTCAACTAGGCTCATTTTGGAAGATTTAAAAGCATTCAATAGGCAAACAGATGATTATTACTCAGGTGCTCAGATATCTGGACTGCTTTGCTTGGAAGGCAAGCTGGACAAGTGAGCATACTGGTTCATTGCCAGTCTTTTGAGTCATTCAATATCTGTCTCTCCACAGTCTGGTTTTGTGGCTCAAGAACAGCTTTCCTTAAAACTTGCATGACGGTCACATTGCCAGAAAAAACAGACATCTTTTTTCTAACACTATAATGCATGGAGTAGAACACCTGAATTACTGCTCCTGTTTTTCACTGTTTTTCTATGTGTGTCATCATAGAGAAGTGTGGGCTGTTAAAATGATCTGCTTAAATCTCTAATGTGCTTATGTGGATTTTCTTTTGATGGTTTTCTTAGGTTATTCCCAACTATTCTACCAGAGATGAATATGAGAAGATGTTTGCTTTGGGAGTAACAATGTAAGAAGATACCTCACTATCAAAATATATCAAATACTTAACTAAAATGTGATTCAGACATCAAGCACTGACTGGTTACAATTTCTAATGCAGATGGATTTCAACTGTGCTGCATAAAGTCCTGATGCTGCAAAGCATTAATGCATACTTGAGTGGAATTACTTAGAAGTTTGAGTTATGTTCAACCACATATGTAAGGATGTAATTGAGGTCTACTGGGAATTAGTATTAAGTTTATATATGGGACTTGGCTGAATTACAGTCTGAAGCCTTAATCGGAACCTACTTAGAGCACTGGCTAGTTCCACTTTGCAGTGGTTGCTTTGCAGTCTACAGATTGTAGATTATGTGGACAATGATTTGGGGTTAACAGCCTCAAAAGAGACTATGTGACTTTGAAGCACGAGTGCCACTGAAAACCGATGGCATAAAGATGCCAACAATGTGAAAACGAGTGTCCTTGTCTCCTAGTCACTGTGCTAAATGCTATAACAAGTTTACACACAGTTTTTTGATGCATGCATTTCTGAACTCAGTTTAAAGCACTAAATTGTTGTCTGAAAACATGTTTGTGCATGGCTAATGCAGAAACTTAAGCTGTGAATTTGATAATAGCAGATCATTAACAACCAAACAAAGCTTCCACTGGAAACTTATGTAGATGTGTACAGAATTCATTCCAGCCTGAGTAACTTGTGGTATCACTGTGTTCGTTGCTATTGCTAGGTATGGTCAGATGACTGCAGGGAGCTACTGCTACATTGGGCCTCAGGGAATAGTCCATGGGACTGTGGTAAGAAACTGGGGAAATGTCTAATTGTCAGTATCTACTGGGGGGAGGGTATCCCCAAGGTGGCTGGAGACTGGAGTGGAATGGATCGCTGTGAGAGGATTTTCTGGCTGCCAAAGAAATTCTCATTGCCTGTTCCTTAAAAAATTAGCGTCCTTCCACTCAGTCCACAGCTTCTTATCCAGAACACAGACCTAAAGGAATCTGCAATCAAGGTCTCAATCTGAGCTCATATCTAGCTACAATAAGTGAAATATGAATTGACCAAATGCATTAGATAAAAACATTTTCTTAGCTTGTTTTCTTAGCTGTTTTCCTCAGCTGTCTTTTGCAGCCATCCTGAATAGGTCTCTATGCCACAAGAGCAGCGTGTTGGGAACCACTGGTTATTCTATTCTACTTCATGGTGAGAGAAATCAGCATTATCAGGACAGAGGGTTTCATAACATCACTTTGTAACATGTTTTTGTCTTAAAACATTAAAACAGTTTCATGGTCCCAAAGACCCCCGAGTTCCACTCTGTTTGCAAAAGGGACAGAAGATCTATAAATTTAAGGGACTCTAGGAAAAACAGCTCCTGATAATTGCTGTATTGTATTGTGTTCAGCTTACAGTACTCAATGCAGGCCGTCGATACTTGAAGGCAGAAGACCTGTCCGGAAAGGTATTTGTTACTTCTGGTCTTGGAGGGATGAGTGGGGCTCAGGCAAAGGCTGCAGTCATTGCTGGATGTGTGGGGATCATTGCAGAGGTAAGAGCAACAATGCTTCTTTCTTTTTGTCATTTCTGCTTCATGTGCTGAATCAGAACCCTGGTTCTCCTCATCTGACATGTTCCTCAAGTAACCCTGAGAAGCCAAACTCAAAAAAAGATACTCTTCTAAGATCTGTCTGTCCTTGTCATTGCTGAGCCTTTTTCACTGCTATTCCACCCTCTGTTTGTTCAATCACTGTATCAGAATGTAAAGATATAGACTGTAAAGTCTTCTGATTGCTTCACAAATGATGCGGCATGATGCCATCAGATGAGCCCTTCTCAGAGCTTGAGCGACCCTCATTTCATGTGTGAAAGGGTGTAGCTTCTGCAGGTGACTCCCATGGGAGCTGCACCGTCTTGTGCCAAAAAAGTCTATGTTGAAAAGGTGTTTGTTGCATTACAATTAATCTTTAATGCCTCTGGCACTATTATTGGGTGCAATGGAAAGTACCTTTTAAAAATGTTGATATGATTCACTCATCAAGGTTTGGGACTAACAAAGTTGCTTGGTGTTGTGATTCTTTGAAGTCAATAGGATTTTATAAAATTGGGATTTTTAAAGTTGGCTTCAGTGTGAAGGTGGTGAGGCTAATTAGAAGCACTTAGGGGAATTCCAGTTTGTAGGCAATAAGTGTGAGTTCTGCTAAGCGAAAATGCTGATGGGGGAGAAGTTCTGTAGTACCATTTTCCCTGTTCCCTGAAGCTCACGCACAGCGTATATTCTTTGTAGAGAGTCCTTCATCCTGATGTAACATTTCTTTGTTCCAAATATGCTAAAATAGCCCAGCTATTTCCTCTGGTAAACAAAGAGAATCTAACAAGGTTCTGTGATTCAAAGACTGCCTTGTCCAAGCAGTTGGAATAGTGTATGATAAGATCCACTGGATCCCCAGATATCCTTGAGTATCATACATAATGCAGAACACTATCATATTCCTGGTGAGTATATACACCTGTAAGTTTTTTGAGTGAAGTACATTTTCGTATAAAAAAGTAACATTAGGTTCTCCTGATACCTGCATTTTTCAGCTATTACGCTTATCATAGGGTTCTGTTCTAACAAATCAGATGAAAGTATGAACTACAAAAACACTGCAACAATTTTTCATCAGAAAATGTTGCTCTGCAATTCTGTGAAAATGGTAGTGAGTAACTTTAATGATATTGATTATTGAGAATAAACACTTCCATGCATTTCTTTCCTCTTGACTACCTTTGAATTCAATACACTGGGGAAACATTCTTGGTGGAGCAGATATAGGACTGACCAAAATGCACTGAGCTCTTTAGACTATCTGCAGGTGATAAGCTCTTGTTACTGCTCCAGAGGAAGAAAGATTTTGAGAACTAAAGTCCAGTGGGAGATTAGCCTTCCCAGCCAAAGTCACCAACACAAAGATTTAGCTGGCAAACCTCTGCTGTAGACATGTCACTTGCTGCAATAAAAAGGGTAAGAATATTGCAATCATCTGACCTGTGGTAATTATAGTTAAACTTCAGAACATAATAGGTCACATTGCCCACATGGCATGCAGCAAATCTGACCTGCTCTGGCTAGCTTGGGTCTTATTCATGCGAGGTTAGAGTTTCATCTGTTTTACAATGATGGTGCAAAAGTGGTTTTGTTAGCAGATGAGTTTAGCATGTATCTGAGATCTCATCAGGTACTCCCTGAAGATTAAATAAATTTATTCAATTTTTTATTGAACAAATTGTCTTTATTCAGACTTCTACTCTGTTGTCATGATCTTTCAAATGCTAGAACACAAAGGAAAGACTCCAGTGAAAGCTATTCACAGCAGTTCTTTGTCCTTTTCATCTCTACGGCTGCAGATGCTTTTGTTCAGGAGACTGAATATCGCCTGGTTTTTATCTCCTGTGAGATGATCTTTGTTGGAAATGAACCTCAGGAGCACATGTGGATAGCTATATATATGTACACATTATTTATTTAAGGAACTATTTATGCTAATGACACTGATGAATTGTGCAAGAGATGTCACTTTGTCAGCCAGGGCTTGTGAAGCTCAGACAGAAGGGATTAATGGTGCAAGTCTTTTACCTCTTCTGTTTGACACAAAGCAGACTGCAATTTTATGAAATAATTGTGTGGAGGGCCAGACTACCTGCTCTGAGCTGCACTAGGCTCTCTAGGGTTACACTGGAGGTGGACATTAGCTCATCACGTTTGTGCAATTTTTTAAACTACTGAGATGCTCATCAAAAGACGAGCATATTTTTGAAAGTGTGGTTCAAAGGAAGCTAGTTTTCTTCAGCATGCTAGCAAGTCTGAAAGATTGTCAGAGAGGTCTGAAGTAAAATATGTAAGATGTGGTAACAGATTTAAATAGAACTGATCTGTGTTACACTGAGCTTTAAATGAACCCAATTCCTGTAATTCATACGGACCATTTAATATCTTTCCTGCTGTGCTGATTTAAATAACTCCTAGAGACGCTGTCCCCCACGGCACCTGACTTTATTAAATAATTCCATTGGCAGTGACATCGATATTATCATAATCTGGGGGTTTTGGTGGATAGTCTTTATTATTGATGTGGGAAATGATGGGAGATTTCTCATGCTAATTAGGAAAGAAAAGGCTTCCTGGTGTTCAAGCAACTCCTGAATATGGAACGTACTTAATTTACATATAAATAATTTGTTAATGAGAAATAATAGAACACAAATGATGGGAGTGGGTCATAAAGACGTAAAAATGCTTTAATGAAATACTAGAACATACTCAGGTTACATGTTCTTACGCACACACACCACTGTGGGTGTTTAAATCTGTTGCTACCGCAGAGAATTGGCTTGAATTAATTTTGCCACTTGTTTTATGACACTGATAGCTCATTATAAAAGTCTTAATAATGTGTAAGTTTTCACATTGAACCATTAATATGGAATCTGTTCCCAAGGCTTCACAGTTTGTCTAGCCACTTATATTTTTATCCAGCTGTCTCTTCTGCGTATATACACTGGCACACACAGAAGCTGAGCCCAGAAGACAGTACAGATTTGGGACTGAGTTTGTTTGGAGCTTCAAAGTTCAAACAAGAGGGAATTAAAGACATAGTTTTGTTTTGATCCATTTCATTTTTCAGAGGCATTAGCCAGCTGGGACAAGAAAATGCTTTCCTCCTTACTTTTCCATATATGGTTGAGATTTTCAACCAGCAGTCAAAGAACGAAACTGAGGGTCAATTTTATTCAACAAACCATTGCTTCATCCTGGGCAGTGTGGTAGAAATTTCTCTCTCTGAGCTGATCAAAGAAAATATTTCCTTAATTAAACAGAAATTTTATTTTCACAGAAAATAGCCAGATTTGAAAAAAAATTTGAAACATTTTGGCTTTCGTTTTTTCAATATAATGATGAAAAGAAACAATAAGATTAAAATTGGCAGAAAAATATTAAGTCTTGTACAATTTTAGTGATTTTTGGTTTGTAAAATACTTTGGGAAGTGATTTATCAAAGTTTTTCTTGCTTCAAGCCTGGAGTAAAAAAAAATCAGAGGTGAAAAATAAGTATTTGAACAATTCCTCCATATTCTTAAGGCCAAGGCAGGGCTATTTCCCTTTACCTATTTGCTACTCTTTCTTGCAGACTAATTGAAAAAATAAAGATAAAAGTGACAGGACAGGGACAACAGGATTTTTAAGATCTCTGATATTTCTCTTAGGTTGATGAAGCAGCACTTCTGAAACGTCACAAGCAGGGATGGCTGATGGAAATCTCTAACAACCTGGACCATTGTATTGCTCGCCTTAGGTATGACTTGTAACATAATTCAGTGAGTTTCTCTGCTTCCTAATCCTCACTTCATCTTTCTGCGTTGTGCCATTTTAGTGTGCATATAGAAGGGATTGAGGGACATCTCTTCTTATTACAGGTCAGCTTTTGAATGTGAATCCACCCTTCCAGGCATCAGCAGTCATTATTAGTGACTACCAATGCTTGCTGCAAGCCACTACCAATGCTTCAGATCATTTACATATGTTAAATGTGTCTTCAGTTTCATGAATATACATAGAGCAATTACATTACACGAGGCATCACTCAAGCTTTCTGGAGTCAATGATTAACAATTACATAAAGGTTGAAAAATTTGTTGCCTAGATGAGTGCTGGAAAACACATCTAGACTTTTTTGCTGGGTTTGACTCTGTATATGATTTGTACATTGCAAGATGGAATTACATGAGGTGCATTTTCTTCAACCAATCTTTTTAATCTATTCTAGAGATGCAAGAAGGAACAAAATTGCTCTTAGTTTGGGTTACCATGGGAATGTGGTAGATCTATGGTAAGTAGTGTATATGAATAATGGAGATATATATATATTAATACACTTCCTTGTTAGTCAACCTGGAATCAGTTCCCAGACTTCGAAGAGAAAAGCATTAAACCTAGTGCAGAGTTCATTACTCTAGAAGCTCATGAAAAACTGTATTGTCAAAAGAGGGGTCTTCATCCTTTTGTTCTGGTTCCCAGCTTCTTCCTATGCACCTTCTTTCCTTATGGAACAATGGATTTCTAAGGAAAAGAAATGCCTAAGATTCTTCCTTGGATCACGAAAGAATTTATTGTTTTCTTTCTAACCTTTCGCTAATTGGATAGCAAGAAAACACCTTCAACTTCAGTGAAGAATAGAACTATTGAGGTATTGATTGAATAAAAATAATCAAATGATGGATAGTAATTCTGGCACTCCTGAGGCTTTATCTAATGGCAAATCTTGCTGTTATACCATATACCAAGGGTCGAGACTGACCAGTAAGACTGCTATGTCATGCTAGCTCTCACCTGTCATCATTCCTGCACAGGTAAATGTGAAGCATGAAAGTTGCACCTAAATCTTCATCACCATCATTCCCCACCTCCTGACTGCTAAAACAAAGACTTAGCCTGCCAAGAATATATCTTTATAAACAACCTCTTGGGATGGAAGAAGAGGATCTAGAATGTGAAACCACAGCTTCTGTTCAAACACTCCATTCATTGTCTTCCCCAGGGAGAGGCTAGTAGATGAGCTGGACAGCACAGGAGAGCTGCTAGTTGATCTGGGGTCTGACCAAACTTCGTGTCATAACCCATTCAGTGGGGGATATTATCCAGTACAGCTTGGCTTTGAGGAAGCAAAGCAGCTCCTTTCCACCAATCCAGGGAAGTTCCGGACCCTGGTACAAGAGAGGTAAATGTTCTGGTGATGCGTACTTTTAACCTTTAAGTTTAGTTGCTCTGCAAGTGATCAGACCTCTGTTTTTCTCGCAAGAAGTTTTTGTTCTTTGACATTTCAGTAGAAATCTGGAGTAGGCTACAGTACTAATAACTCCAATCTTTGTATTTATACAGCTATCACTCAGAATCTGGCAGGCATCACTTACCATTTTAGGAGTAGTCTCTAGTGTAGAAGATCAGAGGTCTGAACACTAATGATTTATTTCACTTCTATAAATTCCTAAGTTGCATTGGGTTTTAAAAATCTGGGACAATAAGTAGAATTCCATGTAGTCTACCAGTTTGTTTAGGTTCACTGAATATGGCATAAAAACCCAATGGGTAAACCAGAAACTCTATTTAGCCTTCCATGCTTCCAGCTGTGGCCAGTAATGCTTTTTTAGGGAAGGATACAAGGAGGGGACTAACTCCCTCAGTCAGTCCTCCCAGCTTTCTGCAACTGTAACTAAGTTCAGGTTAGCATCTTGATTTCGGGGAGATACTCCCGATTTACAAAGTTGCAAGTGAAATTGGAGTTGGACTTTATAATAATTATGCCAAATCACTCCCTCTTGTTCCACAGTTCTATATTTATATAGAGGCAGAAAGCTGCAATGTTGTTCTCAGCTGGTACTTTGGAGACTTTATGGCTCCTACTGTTGTTTTGTTCACCTTGAACGTTTCTGCTGGAGACATTTTTCTAGCAGAATATCGAATACAGCTATATACTCTGTTTGACTTTGGATGAGGGACCTACAAGGACCTTTCCAGTTTCCCAGTTCTGTATCATACAAGTCTAACACAAAGGTAACAGAAAGGTAAATTTCTCGGAGGGGCTCATTTCTTACAAGTTAGGGATGACCTAAACAAATCCGGTTTAATTTGTTAGGCTTTGATTTGCCTCTCTAGAGTTCTGAGAGGTTACACCTTTACGTGTACAACTCCATATGTAACTATGCATTGAAATTAGAACTGGATAATATTAAGTGGAAATGGTATCACAGAAAGCAGTCCTGGGGTATGGTCCATCATTGGAAACAAAGGGAAATTTGGGCTGTTTTGACCAAGGGAGAGGTCAGAACAGTGAAGTTTAGCCATTTTCAGTTTTTCTCTCTGCTTACTTTCTCTGTGAACTTCTTAATCTGTTTTTGCAGTTTTGTGTAGGCTGGTTGTTGTTATTACCTTCCATCCTCAGAGCTGGCTGCATTTCTTTGCTGGAAGACTTGACCTCTCTCTGCAAATTAATGAAGCTCCCTTAATGACTGTAAATCACATCAAAATTTGTGGATAACAGGTGCTACAGTGATTGAATGCATCTTAGTCAATATCTTGTGGGTTTATGTCTGAATTTCCCTGAGGTCTTTCAGTTCCATCTGTCTCCCCCTACTCCCATGCTTTTAGTAAGTTCATGATATTATTCTTTTTGATATTTTAACAGTCTCAAGAATAACTGTTTCCTTCTTTATTTCAGTCTCAAGAGGCATGTGGCTGCCATTAACAGACTAGCGGATAAGGGCATGTTTTTTTGGGATTATGGCAATGCTTTTCTCTTGGAAGCTCAAAGGGCTGGTGAGTAGATCCTGGAGTTAGGTGGAAACAAGCACAATCCTGCATGCATCTACCCAGCTGTATATTTTGGTTGGATAGGGTTGGCCACTGTGTTCTGCTAACTCCCTTTTGTTACTCTCTCGCTTTCTCTCATTCTCTGAGACATTTGGCCTTCTCTGTGGCTGAGATAGAGCCTTCATGGAAACCCAGGTGCAGCCTGGTTTTATATTTTATAGTTTTCTTTCAAGTCACTGACTATTAAAATTCTTTTATAGGTGCTGACGTTGAGAAAAAAGGAGCCAATAAAACAGAATTTCGATATCCTTCCTACGTTCAGCACATCATGGGGTATGTTGGGGAGTTTGGAATAAAGCACTGAAGTTCCTTGTAACTCGCTGTGTTCAGGTGGAGAGCACTACAGAAATTCCACTTAGTGCAAATCTTGCAGTGTACTATAAATGACGAAAAGGACTCAACAGTAGCAGTAGGAAAATTGATCTCACGTATGTTATGCCAGAGTTAGCCTTATTTTTCTCCACTCTGGAGTAATGCCTAGTGTCATTTGGGAAGATGTCCTGTTCGCTGTAAGCATCATGCTCATGTTTTCTATTGCCTTCCTTAGAGTTATTCATTGTATTTTCCTATGTACAGGGGAAAAGAAGAGCCAGACCTGGAGGAACATGTTGTATGTGATTAACACAAGTAAACTCTGACAGCAGAGGTTTTGCTAATATTTTGTCCTGAAAGGCATGGCATGTCTTCATAATTTGGTGTAGAACTCTGTCCTTTTTAGAATTAAAAAGGTCTTATGAAAGCAGATTCCAGATATGCGAACAGCGAGCTAAAACGTTTCCAAATCAAAACACTTCACTTGTTTAAATGAATAGCTGCATTTTCTCATTTGTTGCATCAGTTGTCCTCAAGCCTACTCAAGAGAGTAGCCGACTCATAGCCTCAAACTGTAACTACATGCAACTTCACTTTTAGGTTCTAAAAATGAAGAGCTTGTCGCTTTGGGGCAGTAGAGCTGAATTCCAAATCATCAAAGCCTATGTCTACACTGAAGTTAAAAGCACATCTGAAATAGCAGTCTTCTGCCCATGTCACCGACTGTACCTCTTACCCAAGCTCTGCATACTGCTTGTAGAAAAAGCTGAGCTCAGGAGACCTGTTGAGGGACTGAGTTTATAACACCTTTTGCCTCTGACTCATGCTTAGCTTGCCTATACCATGTGAAAAAGAGCTTGAACATAGAGTAAGGCACCAACCAGATTAGATCTCTTCTTCTGGAACTCAACAGAAGCGTGTCTTACTATTGTGTGGCCCGTAAATGAGTCTGGACTCAAGCATTTGTTCAGAACCCACGCTTGTCTGGTAGTCTAGATGCAGAGTTAGCTCAGGTTAAGAATGAAAGGCCCAGGCAGAAGGGAGAATATATTTGATGACACAAAAGAAAAATTGCAATTCATCTGTTCATGCACTTGATTGATTGAACTGCCCAACATTCCTATCAAAATTCTGGCCTGACTGTATTTTTATACACCAGTCGATGGCTGCGTGAAACAGCACAGTTTAATTTCTCAATTAATGGTCCCTGATGCTTCTGTTTAGATTAGTTCATTGAAAATGTTTCAAATTCTTCTGCCTCTAGCTAATGAAAGAAAAGCACTGCTAGCAGCCAGGATAAATAAGGAAAGAATTTCAACTATCTCATAATGAAACGTTCTCTTCCCAGAGACATTTTTTCCCTGGGATTTGGCCCATTCCGCTGGGTTTGTACCTCAGGTGACCCACAGGATCTTGCTGCCACTGACTCAATTGCCATGTCTGTGCTGGAAGACTTTATACGTCAGGGAGGTAAGGCACCAATCCATGCCCCCATCACTGGGGGTGCTTTTGGGGTGAAAAGGAAACAGTTATATGATGTGTGATATCTTTTGGCTGAAACTGTAGAAAGCACTCTTTTGCCTGTTCTATAGGGGCAGCAAATCTCACAGTTCTCCAGACTCCTATGAGAAGTGTAATCAGTAGGTAAAATATAAAAACACCGTGTAGAGAGGTTATTGATCCCAAAGCTACTGGTGCAATGTTGGCTAAGAGCACTTTTTTCATTTGTTACAGGTTTTCCTGCACTTTGGCACTTTGAAACTTTAAGGCAAACAGTAGCTTTCATCAATAGATCTTCAAGAGTTTTTTAAAGGAGTTAAATTGCTTTGTTCCTGTCCCACAGGTGAATGAGGCATGGGAATCTAGGGAGGTTTTTAAGAGGCTAGCAAGAAGATCAGTGGCAGGAAACCCAAGTTTCATGGGTGTGGTGCTCCATCCAGTGTCATTTATTTGTGATTACAATTTTGAGGTCTTTCTTTTTTTGTCATTCATTAATAAATTGACAACTGTTTCTACTCACTGCTGGAACCTGTCTGGAATATCTGCATGGCTCTGTATGCTACTCTAGTATCCAGGAATTACACTGTCCTTCACTCTTCCATATCCCTGAAAGTAGGCTATTACTGTTATACCTTGCTTATGAATGGGAACTGAGTCAAACCTAATTTTGTGTCAACAAACATGAATCCTAATCTCCCAGGTTGCAGTGGAAAGCCCTGCTTCTTTCCCTTTCTTTATCTACTGTTACAGTAGCTGAACAGCAGACTCAAAGGCTTAAGTGTCGTTGTACCCTAGCACTGAAGTCCTCAGCTCTTCCATTTCCAGAGTGGAACTTTGTGCTTCTCAGAATCAAGAAAGGGATCAGAAGCAGACAGATCACAAATCCAAAGCGTATTTTGTGTGGAGGACAGCACAATATTTTTGTCTGGTAATATTGAAATATTATTTGCTTCTTTCATGGAAGACATCACTGAAATATGAATAGAAGTCTGAAGATATTGAATGCTCTTCTCTTTGCCCTGGAACAGTTAGCATTGCGAGGATCTAGGGTGGTATTTCTGAAAAGGGTATACCACATTCAGAGAAGTCTCTCGTTTGAAACAATACTGCTGTCGTCTTCCTATAACGTAACGCTGGTGTCCAGCCTCCTCTTCCTCCCAAGACATGAATTATTGATAGAGTGTGTCTGACCCTGCAAGGTCCTTAGTTCTGTCTATTCTCTTAAACTTTCCTTGAGAGTCATCTTAAAGAAATAGCACTGGAGTAGGAGGTGTTTTTAATGCAATGACCCAGAAGTGCCTGCCCTGTTCTATGGATATTGAAACTTTTGTGTTTTTAAACCTGGGCCCTTGGCTCAATTGAAGGGAGGGTGAAATCTGATACTGTAGTGCTGGATCTAGCTTCAAAAATTTGCAGTAATTTTTCTGCCATGTGCAGCAATCTCCAGTCATCTTCTCTCAAGCTTGAACTGATGCATGACCTTTGGATGGTTTGCACTGCAAGACCAGGAAATGAATCAGTTGCTATGTGTACAATAGTGTGTGGGTGTTTATATAGGTGGTAATGTAAAGCTGGAGAGAGAATTCTTTTCCACAGACAAAAAGCATTGAACTTGTGCATGTATATTCTTAATTTAAATGAAAATGACATTTAAAAAAATGCCAACAGGTGAAAACAGGCTGAAGGGCAAGGCTATTATTTGATTTGTTGTTGAATTTGTCAGAGCAATGGGAATAGGCTTTCAAAGAGAAATGAAAATAGAATTTGGCCAGAAAATAAACAGCCATTCATGGATTCATGTTCTTGAGTATTCCTCTTGCTGTCCACCCCCTATAGGACCTGGGCTTGGAGCAAACTCTGGGCTCTGGATATCCCCACGCACATATACATCTAAAATCTGAACCTACCTTTGAATTTTATAACAGAATTTTTTATGACACGTGAGTGAAAACTCCACAGAGCTGGTCTATTGCATTCCAAGTCTAAACTTTTGACCTGGCCTTGAGTCCAATGTTAATAATTCTTCTCCTTTTGTGGAGATGAATTTTTGCACTTAAACCTCACAAACTGTGAAAAAGTCCAATGTAATTTTATTATCTGCTTTCACTCCTAAGGTACTTGAGCTTATAAGTTAGCCTTTGCATGAGAGATACAGCACTAGTGACTGGAGTGTAACTTGGATTTATGACATCTGTGGTAGTTTGAAGGCTGAGCTGATGAATAACAACAACACAAATCTCCCAAGAGCAGAGGGAGCCAGTCTCTGTATTGATAAGGACTACTCCTCTGAGTATGCAATGCTTTCTAGTACCTTTTAAAACTTGAGTAAGTTCAAGGGCCTGTGAAATACCAGAAGCAACATGGTAGCTTGCCTGACTTCAAAACATGTTCCTGTTGGGGTGGGGAGGTGGGGGCAGTGGTTTAGCAAATGAGGGACACGTGGAGCTACTCTAAAGTTCAAGTCTTCTAGAAAGAGCTGTAAGATTTTTTTTTTTCAACTGCAGGAAGTTAAGACTAAATAAAAGGGAGGATTCTTCACCTCCTCAGGGATAACTGATGAAATACAGCTTTGGACACACCACAGTTTAGGACAGAGAACATGACTGTTTATTGGAGCTGGCTGGGAAGGACAGATGTGCTGTGTTGAGATATGTCCTTGTAGCCCATATTCTCTTCTCTTCTAGATGTGTTCTATAGAGTTAACAGACAGTAAGATCTTTTCTGTAAGTCTGTGCATTATGAAGTTTAGAATATGGTAAGTACTCTCTGAGCTCATAAAAGTGATAGAAAGGAACTCATTCTCTACTTGGTTTTCTAGAGTAACTCCTGTAGACTGTCATTAAATATCTATAATAACTGAAGTGAATACTACCCATTACCTTCTAAAAGATGTTTCCTCAAAGCTTATGAATGGCAGCACAATCCTTCTAGGACAGCACTAGCAGATGTTTCATCTTTCACTCCCTGCAAAGCTAGAAGATGATGTGTTAATCCTCGTTGCAGAGTTTAGAAGCTATCACTTGGAGCCAACCCCTAAAGCACTGACAGATCTTTTTAGGATCATTAAAACTCTCTGTATGGAAGGACTGCCTCTGCAGGAATGAGTATATTTTATGTTTCCCTTTAACAATGTGATTAACTGGGATTAAACATACTGCCTAATGGAAAGACAGCAGTCTAAACACTCTCCTCAGTTACTGGGGACAATTTCAAGTTAGCAGTGTGCAGTTTCTTCAGTTAGACTGACTTTAAACATTAGTCATATGTACCTTATAATTTGACTCGAAAATGGGTGAGAGCTGGAAAGTGATGGGGAACATGCTATCTTGGTGTCTGCAGAAATGATTATAACTTGAAGCTCCAATGCTCAAGAAAGTCACTGTGGCTGAGCGTGTTGCTCCATGCCAGCTGAGCCCTGGTAGATGAACATGTCTCAGTACAAGGTAATGTGAAGTAGCTTAGCCCATAAAGAGCCTACAGGTAGTAACTTCTTCAGCCACAGTAACCTCATCTGAGCTCACACTCGCTCTGCATGGAAAGGCATAACCGTAAAAGCCCCCAGAATTAAGGCAGTAAGACAATGCTTCGGTCTCATTCCATACTCCCTCTCCCTTTTGTTACTCGCTTGCTACAGATGCTGCCATGCCTTTGGAGGCAGTTGACTTTACTGGCCTCCCCGTGTATCTGACAGATACATGCCACATTTTACTGTCTTTCACTTGAAATATCTTTATTCTTACTCCTCTTTGGTTTGGCTGATTGAGATGGAATGGCACAGATATAAATGAGAGGAGAAGCTGGAGAATATAGAACCATTATATATAATTATATTTTAAAATAATATATATCTAAGCAAGGTGTAGAGTGGATTTACACATAAAGTAGCTACTCCATAATAAGTTTGTGAGACAACATACCTCAGTTTTATCTTGGGATAAAAACATTCACGTGGCCATTTAGTACAGAACAACTGCTGTGCTATAAATCTATATCCCAGCATTGGTGTAACTTATTCTTAAGCATGTATTGCCAGGCGCTTCTGAGAATTTCTTTTGGCTGACTCAAAGGAGTTCTTTACTACTTGATGCAAGTCTGGACTGTAGTACCCAATGTCATGGAGTTTGCTAAAGCTACTGATTGAGCAAAGGCTTGGAAAGGAAACGCACATTTAGTAGGCAGCAAGACAGATGACCAAAATTGAACAGTTCATGTAACCCATATTTCAAGGTTCAAATTAGTTTGCTAAGGATCTCAATGGGAGCTATTGTTCCAGCTGTCTCCTGGGTGACATCTCATACCTTCTAAATATATGGTACCAGTTACTGCATCAGTTGCACAGGGGATTCTATATTGCATTTCCTATATGTGTGTTTGTATCTGAAAGTAGAATTTGACTTCCTAGTGCTGTCAGATAAATTAATCTTAAAGCATATTGCATTCATTTTCAAAACCTCTTTTCTTTCTTGCTTTCTCTTGCAAGTGAGCACATCTGTGAAGCAGCAGTACCATGACAACATCCGCTGGATTCGGGAAGCTGGCAGGCACAGCTTGGTAAGTGCACAACCTTCTTCAGCACGTGTGACCGCTCCTGGTTCAGAATGAAGTTTCTGAATGCTGGAGTGAAAAGCAGGAGGGGGCATGAATGAAAACACTGGCTGTAACTCCCAGGGCTGATAAACCCTGCTATGGAGAGACGTTTAAGTTTAGGGTGAGCTGAAGCAGTGTTCTCATCTGGAAATGTTCAAATAATCCAGCAATATCGAGTCTTATATCTGGAGTGAAACATGTCAATGATTTACCTTCCACCTCATTTGTAACTACCATTCTTTCAGAGCACTATTCAGAATATCATTCTTGGCACTGCTTTGGCCCAACCTCTTCACACCTGCAGTTCCCAGTACCCTTTTCAAAGCAGATGATAAGGCCAAAGACCTTCCACCCTTTTGCATTGTGGGAAACAGAATACCAGTGAAGCACCCTTTGTTTTTCTTTTAGAGCAGGCTCTCACTGTGAACGTAACTGGTATAGAGCTTACACGTGCTCTCCTCATCTGGAAGCCAGATTGGTATGTGGGGTAAAAGCTGGAGAGGACCATAGCTGTGTAGGACAGATGTTCTTTGCAATTCTTTGTCTCCATGTTTTTCTTCTGTTCCAGCCCACCATTGCCAGTTCCAAATCTCTGCTTCTCTGCTGTTGATAAGGGATTTGTTGATAGGGGGATTATAGCCTAGCAATCAGATTGATTTAAAAAGTGGGATTTATTGGACAGTAGCAGCTGAATACAGAAATACATCTCACTGATTGTGTGAATGGAGATAAAACTCAGTTCAAAGAGGGACTTCAATTTTTTTTTTGTGGAAGCTGGATGTTGATGAATAAATCTGCACTTTCTCCTACAGAAGGGGTCAATCCTGTGACTCCATTTATCTGGGGCTTGAAGATAAGCCAGTTGCACAGAGGACCTTATCGCTCTGGCATTTTTATTTTCCAGGTTGTTGGCTCTCAAGCTAGAATCTTATATTCTGATCAGAGGGGTCGTGTGTCTATAGCTGTGGCTATTAATCAAGCGATTTCTCAAGGAAGAATTAAGGTTTGTCTTTTTTGTCTTGATATGGTCTGGTAATTGCGTTTAATATCTGAGACTGGGGTGGCAGGTGGGAACAGAGAAAGCTTGAACCAGTGAGATCAGAAGTGCCTGCCATTTACATGGGATCGCTATTCTGTTAGCATGTTTTAGAGCTCAGTCCTTTTCTCTGCCTGTCACCAGTATTGCGCTACGTGATAGAAGAGAGACGGGTTTAGAAACTATCTGAAATATGCTATCTTTTATTTCGTGTTGGGAACCTGCCTTATTTTCTGTTTTGGCATCTACAAGCACAACATATACTGCTGTGATTTGCTGGAAACAAGGCAGGGACTGTAACTCCTTAGCATTGCCCCAAATGTTAAATGTTACAAGAGACCGTGCTGCTGCCCAGTGCTTCTTACCCTCTGTCCCTCACTTTCAGCCATGTTATGGCTACAGCCAGCTCTGCAGTAAATTTTCATTTGGATTGCATATGTAAATGAAGAGAATAGTTAGACTTGATGTTGACACTCTAGTGCATAGTGAGTAATATCTTACTCATCTGAGTGAAATCCCACTGACTGTATGTGGTGGTGGTAAAAGTACATACTATGGGCAATATTGTATCAGGATTTTCTAAGATCTTAAGGAGTATTGTAGATAAGTGTACAGTGTGACATCCTGGGGGACCAAAATCCCGAAGACACCACTTGGTAATTATACCCATGACCTGCAGTGTGTACCACAGCATCAGACCAAGGCAGGTTCATTCCTTCATCTCCATTGCTTTTATAGCTGAATTACAATTACCCTTTTTAAAGGGGCAAACTCAAATAAAACTTAGAATGTTTTCTAGCTAGGAAAGGTCTGTTTTTTGTTACTCAGAAAATGCTTGTTAAAATATTTCAAATGCTGTTGACCTTCTCAAGATTTAAAATGAACATCACTGCAAGCTAGTCTTAAAAAATAAACCTGATCGGACAGAGCATTCCCTTGGAGCCATGACTGACAAGGTCACACTCCCAGGCCCTTTTGTTGTGTCCTTTTTTTCACTTCTGCAAATCTCCATTCCCCTCTCACAAGCTGGGTGCTCATGTCTATTTTCAATGATTTTCTAATTCACTGCCAGCATAAAACAGAGCCAGCTAATTCCAGACCACACCATGCCAAGAGTGAATTATTCTTATATAAACCCTCTACATGGCAAATGATAATGAAGACCTGCAAGCTGTCAGTCAAATTGCAGATCAAGAATAGACTTGTTTGAGCTGTATGGAATCACTGATTTTCATTGCTAACTTATTTTTTTAGTCTTGAAGTCTTCCAAAGAGTGAAAAAGTGTAAAATTTCTTACTGTTAGTTTTAATTTTCAACAGAAAACAAGAACTATTTTTGAATGAAGACTTTTGCATATTGAAATGTCTTGGAAATTTCAACAAAGAAATACTCAGGTGATATAATTATACCGCTTCCTCTCTTTTCCCTGACCTACTTTGAGAATGGCATAAAAACAAGCTTTTTTTCTTAGTTATGAAGGCGTGGTGGCTTTCATGAACAGTATGTGAACAACCGTTTTATAACAAATAATGTCAGGCAGAGAATGCGTTTCAGGGGGTTTAGGAGAGGGGACAAAGCTGAGGTTTGAAATGATAGACATGAATTCAGCAAATGATGATTCTCGGTAGCATTGGCAGTCCATGAAGGATTCCATCTTCTCATTCTTGGCTTTTTGCAGGCTCCAGTAGTCCTCAGCCGAGATCACCACGATGTGAGTGGGACCGACAGTCCTTACAGAGAAACATCAAACATTTATGATGGATCAGCCTTTTGCGCAGGTCAGCAGAGCAGCTGAGGCTTGTCTGTCTGGGCAAACAAGGAAATTGCTTTAAAGGAGAAATTGTTTTTTCTATGCAACATTTAAAAAATATTTTTCTTTAAACCTTTAATCTCAATTAATCAGATTTCCCAAGAAGCTTTGTGGGATTCAGTAATGATACAGACATGAATGTGGAGCTTGTTAAATAGGAGAGGTTCTGAACAATGCTGAAAATGCAATGAAGGTGTATCAGATTTATCTGAATGTAAATGGAGAGCAGTGTATCTCAGAGGACTGCATCTTCTGTTTGATTTTAATTTTGCATCTCACTGTTTCAAAGAGGTGGTCTGAGCAGAATTACAGCTGTATTTCCTTGGGATCCACAAGATCAAAGTCATGTCTATAATACTATTTTGCTTAAAGCAAAAAGATTCACAGCTGCATTCAGTTCATTGCCTCAGGACTGAAGAAATCAGTCCAGAGTTTCTGAAAGGAACTTTTCTGGTCATAAGGGAACATACTTTCATAGGAAAAGCATAGGAATAGGAGTCAGGTGTTCTGGATTAGACTCCAAGCCTGGTTGCTTACTTACAGTGTGACTGTGGGCAAATCATGTAGGTTTGCTATACAAAAGGAGCCTTTAATTCTGCACACCTGACCTGAGCTAACCAGATGCTGCTTTTAAGTTTGTGAAATGGTGCTTTAGAAAAATAAACCCAAGAAATACCAGATTGGAGACATGAAAAAAATGAGGGAAGCACTAAGCAATTTTTAACCTAAATCTTCCTCAATTTCCCACCCATAAAGTGGAAATTATGATAATAGCTTTAGCCCAGTAGTGTTTCTGCTTGTCATGAACTGACAATCACAAAGTGGCTTGAGATGGAGGATACAAGCTGCTGTAGAAGGAGAAATTATGATAGGAGTAGCTGAGGATATTGAATTACTTCCATTATGGGAGTTCATAATAGAACCAAATTATGGCTCAATTTTAAGAAGAGTTCCCTGCTATCTTAACTGGATTTCCTGATGAAATGAGGCTTTTAGCTGTGCCTATCAGTCCCACTTCAACACTTTTTGAGTCTGTTGGCTAGTTCTCATAGACCAGATGGATAAATGCCTTGAATCATGTTTGGTTCTGACAAGCTGTGAGAAAATGGTGCAGCTGCAGAGAACAGTAATGCCAAAGTAATGCCTCCACCAATGGGCTTAACAACATCAGTAAACCTCAGGCAGTGCCCTCAGAAGATGCAATAGAAACAAGTCTTTTGAAACCCCATTGCTCAACATGCTATGTGTTTTTCTTTGCGTTTGATGATTTACATGAACAATTTGCCTTCTCTAAGGGCTTATCTAAAGCCTGTTGACCACTGATTTCACTGGTCTTTGAAACCAGGCCTAACTCCATTTTACCAGGTGAGCCTCTGGAGGTAATAAAAGAACATCTTAGGTCTTCCTCTCTCCCTTCTTTCCTGTTGTTTTAACACCACATTTGAGCTGGTTCAGTTGAAATTGGCTCTTCTCTAACACACATGAATTTTCCAGAGTGTTTGCCTATCTTATTTTGTTCGGCAGTAAGTACTTCAGCCTGATCCTTGGCAAGCATGGGTCATCGCTGCTCGGCAAAGTGTAGTTCAGCACAGATATTTGCACAGTTAGTGACCTTCATGGAAGCCAAGGAGCAGCACATTGTTAATCCACTTGCCATGCTCCTTGTTCAACCTCCACTCTTATCACGCTAGTGGCTAAGGAAGAAATCTGTCCATTTAGAATATGGGGATTTCGATCTCTCCCATTCTCTTTCGACAGCACTGTAATTATGATAATTGGGTTATTAAAGTGACATAATGCCAGATAAAGGATGCCATAATGGAGTTTTTGACAGGGTATAACATAGATTAGTGCTCAAGTAAACTAATTTTTCCATCAGGCGTGTAACAACTGTGGGTCTGCAAATGTGGCTGGGGGGGGTTTTGCTGTTTTTTTTTTTTTTTTTTTTTTTTTCTGTTAAAAGCACAGCAAATGATCTATTAAATCTGTCCTGAATCAAATCTGGACAAACATTTTCAGTAAGTTTTTACCTTATTATCCTCTGTGTGTACCTCTTTCCACCTCTCTGGGTATATCCTTTAGCACAAATTGTAGTGAACATACAAAGTTCTAGTGAACATTTCAGTGGAAATCATGCTTTTGGCATTTTTCTTCTTTTCTTTTTTTTAATAAAACAAACCTCCTGTGTAATTTCAGCAGTTCATATTTAGGGTGAAATTTCCCCATGTCCGGAGAATCGGGGCCAATATCACTTTCATGCCATATTCCCAAAATGCAACTCTTTAGTTCTAGACTGGCTTTCTGCACAGGGCTGAGTTAACTCTGCGGTCTGATCTGAAAATAATTCAGGCTTCTGAGAACTGCAAGGTGTGAAGTTTTCCGGGTGTCCCCCCCATTTTGAAACCTTCCACATGGATGTGTCCAGCCTGTTCTTCCATGACTGAGGCCTCACCAAGGAGAGGACTATATTTCTGCCCACCCTCAGGAGCTATCTTCCAGCTGAGGAGTGGTAGGTTCTTCAACTGCTTGAATTGGATCACAAATGCAGAAAGTGTCAGAGTCCTCACAAACCACAGTGTGAAACTGGCATTTGCTTCCTCCAGTGTAGGGACAAAGAGTGGAAGGAAAATCTCTCTTGCCTGTTCCTCCCGAGAATGAGATGTTCACTGTATATCTGGGAGAGAAGCTGTGAGTAAACCCTGCCTCCAACGCTGCCTGCACACAACCATGACCAAGGTGTCAGTGGAAGGAGTGAGCTGCACAACAAAAAAATGAACGCAAAATGTCAGAGCCATGATAACACCTTTCCTTTCCTCTTAGACATGGCGGTACAAAATTTTGTAGGAGATGCATTCAGAGGAGCGACCTGGGTCGCGTTGCACAACGGTGGTGGAGTTGGCTGGTAAGAACTTGTTTATGTTTTTAAAGCTGGACTCTGAATCCTGTTACCACTGCTGTGTGTGTGGGGGGAGGACAGACAGGAGGTGAACTGCAGAGAAGATGTGTCTGTTACTGGAGCAATACAAGTGTCACGATCATGGGAAGGATGGGTTTGGAGACTAGGGCTGAAAGGATGTATTATAAGGTAGAGTGTGGTGTTCATATGAGGCTTTTTTAATTAATGCCTGCATGTCTAGAAAAAGTGTTTTGGACATTGACCACAGCACAGTTTGGAGAACTTAATTTGCCAAACGAGGATAATATGCCATGGTCTTTTCGAACAGATCCTACTTCCAAATTTGTCTTCACACATGCACAGCCAGAGTGTTAGTGGATGGATTATGTTTAGGTTTCCCCTTAAGCTGTATTTAAATCTATGACCTTAGGACCCCAATATAAATGCCCATGTGCTAAAGTGCAACGAGGGGCTGTTGATACAAAACAGCCCAGGTGCCAGCAAACCCCCCAGTCTTGTTTCTCCCCTTGCTCATGCCTGGTAGGATAAAAGACCACAGCCAAGTAAGGACTGGGTTAAACTCCTTGTTCGTATAAGACACCAAACTAAGCGAAATGCCTAAACTGAGAAGCAGAATGAAAGAAATAGCATGTTTGGAGAGGGAAACTGATCTTCATATGCCACTAAAAGGTTACTCTGGAGTGGCAGAGGTGTAGTTTTTTGAGAGCCTGGCCACACTGCAGTCTTTGATTCTGGTTTGTTCTTTCCAGCACTGTCCAGCAAAGCCTCTCCTACTTACAGTTATGTCTTCATTTTGTGGTGTCGCCAGTCAAAGGAGTACAACCCTCTATTAAACACTGTCATGAACACTCCCACTTCCCTTTTCCATCCAGCTCTTGGAACATGACAACAACCTCAAGCCAAACGACTTGTAGCAGATGTTATACTCAGAGACACCTGACGATACCTAATTATCACTCATCCAGATGACCTGGATCTAGAAAATATCCCATCAAGTCAGATGGAGAATTCTCTTTCCTCTAGTCTAATTCCTTTGAATTCAGTGAAGTAACTACTGAATAGAAGATATGTGAGAGTATAATTAAACAGTGGGATAAGAAAGCTTTCTGAGGGCTTAGACACATGGCTTTACTGATTTCAGCAACAGCAACCACCATGGCCAGAATTTTATTCACAACTTCTGTAATTCTGAACGGAAAATGCATACCAGAGTATTTGCTTACTCTGGTCATCTCAGTCTGAGACTCCAGAGATAGCAGCAGACTACATCTGTCTGAATGGCCTTAGCTCAGTTTAACCTTTTAAAATATCTGTTCATGAAATACAAAGAAAATCACTTCACGCTACATGTTCTGCAAAATATTTAGAATATTTTTATGATAATTATAATTATTAGAATTGCTAAAATAATTTCTTATGCCACAAATGTACTGTGCATTGATGATGCTTAATTCAAAGGATACAAATGATCATATCCTTTATCTCTCTGGCCTCTGTAAGGCCAATCCCTCCAACACATTTCTAGCCCTCTGAGCAATTCAAAGAGATTGGCTGAATGGTGAGGCTGCCCTTACTTCCACAGAACTGCCACTGACCACACTGCAATTTCAGTTGTATTGTTGTTTCTTAAGTGGAGTGACATCATTAGAAAGCTCTTCCCCAAGGCAGGGCAGAGGTGCTGTCGCTTCTGCTGTGCATCAGAAAATTAGCATGTGGCTATTCACTGAAATCAAAATATCGATGGAAAAACGGGGTTTGGTTATCCTTTTTGACATTTCCTATAGCTGCTTAGTGGCTTGTCGTTGTGGAACAGTATCTGCTCACCATGTTCTCAGGAGCAGTCATAGCCCTCTGTGAGTAAATTACTGTGCTTCAGTGAGGAATACGGAGCCTGAAAATTAGGCCTGTCTCTGGACAAGCCTTAATAAGCAACCATGCTGAGACTCAGATGTGGCAACAATGTCATGTCATTAGATGCCACGGTCTGGAGGGCCCCCCCGAAAGCCGCGGCAGGACAGGTGGTTCTGCTCGGCTTAACCCATTGTGGCACCACGCCGGCTAGTTAAAGCGCTGCACCTCTTTGCCTTCTAAGCAGAAAGAAAGGAATAATTTAAAGGTGGTAAAAGAAGCAAAACCAAACACCAACCATAACAAATTACTCTCTTTGCCTGGAAGAGACAGATGCCTTTAGGTTTTAGGACTCTGCTTTTCTTTTCCTCTGGAGAGCTGAAAATTCAGCTGACTTTGCCATGAAGGAATTTCCATGTGCCTAATGAAATCTGCTTGTCATCAGATGATTTGGAAATGTGAAAGTGCATGTGAAAGCTTATATATATTTATAAACAAATATAGACGTGATGAGAGAGAAAACAAGTTGTTATTGGCAAGTTTCTGTTCAGGGAGTTCAGAAACGACAGTGGCACTGTGTTCAGCTACCAGTCCTCCCCGCAGAGGCTGGGCTTGCCTGGAACTGCTGACAGATCTGCCACGTCTTCCTTACGAGACTAGAGAAGAGCCTTTCACCTGCTTTGATTTTTCTGTGCTGTAGCCTTGTGGGACAACCAGAAAAAGCAGGATTAATATTTAATTAGCTGGAATCTGCATCACATGTACTGTTTGAGAGACTTAAGATTAACATAGTCTTGACTATAATTACAGTAAATGAATGTTATTCATTTCTTGCTGCCTGTTTATTTGCAGAAGAATGTATATTAGCATGGAGCCTGAGTAATCTGTAGTAACAAAAAGGCAGAAGCATTTAAGAATTGAACTGCACTGTTGACAGTGTGACATCTTGATTGTGAGAGAGGCCTTGTTTTCTTTGATCACCTTAGAAGGAGACATCTGGAAATTATAGGAGGTAGCTTAGGTCAAAATGCCACATGTTTCTTTAATTAACTGAAATAGTGACCCAATACTAATGAAGGCAGAGAGCTTGACTTTGGAAGTGAGAGGTTTTGCTAGAAAATACATCCTAACAAATATTGGCATTCAATTTATGGGTGAATTTTGGACAGTAGTACAGATTCTGGTGAATGATTGTGATTTACACTGGAGTAACTCCATGGAATTTCATGAGGAGGCTCTAAATTTATGGAGTGCAAGTGAGATCAGATGCTCACTGTTCATGCCTAGACTTCGAAGGATGCTCTTTGGGATGCTGTGCGCAGAGGGGATCTTTGCCACTGAAACAACATCATCTTTCCATATGGACAGTCTTTATATAGCGCCATCCAGAGGTCTGATTTTCTTGTTGTCTGATATTGCCGATAGGAAGTCTTGAGGTGTGCTCATACTGTGATCCCAATTACATTCCAATGGCATCACTGATGTTTGTAAGTGTACTCTGCCTTGGTACTTGGACAGTAAAGAACAGTGCTAATTTGATCTCTACACAGAAGCAGCGGAGTATGGTGAGGTGACTGGCCTTGGTCTTGATACAGTTACGTTTGTAATGTTGTCATCCAGTCTGGTCCTCTCTTTTGGAGAAGAGAGTAACAACACGAGCTATTCAAAAAGTAGGATTTGCATGAAATGCTGATGTTTGTTTTCATCCGAAAATGAGACTGATAGGAGAATTAATGAAAGATTTCACACAGTAAAAAGATCATGGGAATTAAATTCCAGGCTGAAAAGTGTGGACAGTGTCCATCAAAAAGAAATGTTACATTGTGAAGAGTCAGAGCTTACAATATTCAAACATCTCACTTGAAAACATGAGTTTGTTTCAAATTTTCCTGTTACAGATAAGATTCTGAGTCGTTCACTGACGTTCTGCTGTGAGAACTGTCAGTTTCAAGAAAACTGTGCCTTTCGATAGAAAATGTATTTGTAATAACGGTATATCTAATAATAGTAAAGTAGAGGGAATTCACAGGGTGGCAGCGTGATGGTGAGATCTGGAGCTCTAAGTCCCTCGCTCAGCTATGTGATAAGGTCCTACTTCACACACAGGTAGTGTATAGAACTAGTGAAAGGGAATTCACATCCTGTAAGTAACAATGCTACATTTAAAAGGAGAAAATGTGAGTTCTAGTTTCAGGAAGTAGATCTCAGGTCTGTGAGGCTCCAGTGCAGCCTTGTTTCCCCATTTTCTGAGAAGCTCCTGTTACTGCTGGAAAATATACAGTAAGAAACAATTCCTTCCTGGACTGCAAGTTTCTTAACTCCTGTCTCATTCTTGGATATGTCTGATGTTATTCTACGTAAATTTTGTAAACTTATTCACTATGTTAACTAGAAAACACAGAGGACTCCAGGGATCTCCATTAGTAGCATTTAATACCATGGGTTATTGCATGACATGCCCCATCCCTCTGGTATTTCTGATGCTGAGTTGCAATGCCAGAACTCTCACAGATTTACAGCAACAGATAATTACCCAGCTGCATTCACCACTATTCACCATATGCAGTGAAACAGGGACTTGAGCAGGCCAGACTCTGAAGTCAGACAAGATGTTCCGCTCTATGTGTTTTCCCTGTCCTTGTAAAACCAGATGGGTATTTCTCCTAAGTATAATCTGTTAGTTTTAACATATTTCTGTTCTTCTTCTGCCAATAAGTCTGCTTCCTGAAAAGTTGGCACTGATGCCTTTAAACATCTCTGTATCTCATATAGAATGAATGACTGTTTTTGAAATGATCGAGGCAGATGTGCATTAAGTGGTGGTTAACGCTTTTTTAATAAAATGCTTATGCTCTCTCATTTGTCCCAAGAGAATATAAATAGATCCATCTGTCTGCTTCAGTGAGTACACAGTCCTGGTCATGTTCCTATCTGTATGGCAGGCTCTAGTGTAGCAGACATGAACAGCTTAACCTTTAAAAATACTCTGAGATAGGTAACTCTCCAGCCCATCAGAAGTGCTAACCTTTCTTTACTGGTTTCTAGAGCCAGTACAGCGTGCAGTCCTCAGGAGATGCAGCGCAAGCTTAATTTTTGGCACTTCTGCTTGGAGCAGATACTGCCTGCTACCTGGGCGCTGAATTCCTATTGTGTGGGGTGGGTGGTTTTTTTTTGTAAGTATAAAAGGTCACTGATAGTACATTTTATTTGGTGTCATTTCTATGTTCTCATCCTGCTTGCAGTGCAACTGAACAAATTAAGTGCTGTGAATTTTGTGAGATTGGTTTGAATTAGTTTGACTTAATTCTCTCATATTTTTTTAGGGGTGAAGTGATCAATGGGGGATTTGGCCTGGTTTTGGATGGGTCTACAGAGGCTGAAGAACGGGCTAAGATGATGCTCAGCTGGGATGTTTCCAACGGAGTAAGCAAAACTCATTATAGATGTTCACTTTGATATCTTCCTGCCTCCGGGACCATATTTATTTAGGTACTCAGGTTACAGCGCTCCCATTCTTTTTAACTGAATGGGAGCATTAGCACTCAGGCAGGAGTTTTCGGGATCTGTCTTTTTGTATCCCAGGAATAGCCGTAATGGGCCAAGCGACGTGTTCTGTTCACTGCTTCTGATATGGGTGGTTATGAGCCTGATTGCACTAGAGCCAGTGAGTTGTTTTGTTTGGTTGTTTCTTTTCTCCAGCCAAATTCAAAGGACTTAAAGTCAAAAAAGCTGAATAATTCTTGGGTAAGGAACTTACTGCAAAGCGTAGGACCACCCCCTCTGATTTTACAATGTATTGGACCCCAATAGCTTCGACATATCTCAGTGTGTGTTTTGTGATTTTTTTTTTCTTTAAGCAGAAAGAGAAGCATGCTTACAGTAATTTTGTTAGATCTGTTGGCATTGTTGTTTGCCTACAGAATAAAATTGACAACTGTATGAACTTTAGTCTTGTCTATTCCCAACTTCTAGATCTAGGTGTCTTGAAAGGCTTGTCATTTAAGTGCCAGGTCGTCCAACCCTTGCTACCATTAGAGTTTTTGCATTCTATTAGTGTCCAGACAGATGCTGTCTGGGTTTAAGGCTAAGATCCCATCTCTGAAATGGCAGAGAGGTTTTGATTCAATACTTGCAGAGAACCTAATCAGCAGGACGTAGTGATGCATAGCCCAATTAAAGGATAAAACCTGTTGTGTTTCAGTCACGAAACCTCACAAGGATGTGATGTATTGAGGGAGCTCCTTGCCAGTGCTGACATGATCTGTTCTGTTTTACTTCTCAAGAGAATTCCAGAATTCCTTCTTGCCTTAGACCTAAACATTTTTTTTTCTTCCCATAAGACCTGGCATGACTGGGGGTAGAAGAGGAGGAGGACGAATTTGCACATATTCCCTATCCCAGATCTGAAATAACCTATTAATAAACTATTAAGAAAGCAGGAGGAGGACAATTATATTAATTTGTATATTAGAGTAATGAAGACAAACCCTTAACATGCACTATGTATCAGAGACAGCCTATTAAAAACCCAATAAATCTTTTGCTGTTCTGATTTAATGCAAGCAAAAACCCCATTCCTCCACACACATGTTGAAAAAGGACAATGTGAAAATGCTACCCAAATTATATACAAGACTGGAAAGAAACTGGAGTGTACCCTTGAAAATATACTGCCAGGAGTAATCATAGGTGAGTGGCAGGGAAATTGAGTTGTTAACTTGAAAGGTCATTTCTAGCTGTTACTGCTATGATCATGGGAACTTATTAGGTGTACCTTAATCATGCTTCAATATTTTGTTAGATTGGAACCTAAGTCTTTTCTTTCTTGAACACTATTGAGTCTGAATAATTCAGACACTGATTTGCAATTTGTAATAGAGATTTGTAAGGCATTGAATAGAGGGAAGGACATATTTCCTTTGTGCCAAATCTTGACTTTTTTTTTGTGTGGGGAATCTTGCTGGTACACAGATCAAAACGCAGAGCTTTGTTGTTGGAAGAGGCATTTAACAGTTCCGTGGCTGTCCATAGAGTTTCATCCTCATGTGCTGGCAGAGAATTTGGCTCCTTAATTTTATAGTTTGAAAATGCATTGAGTGACATTTTCCTTTTTCAATATTTATCCCACTACAAAAGCATTGATTGCTTGAATGATACTGTTATCTATAGCAAGTGCTAGTTTTACAGAGCTGGGATGGAGTGCACCATTATTTTTAGTGAGAGAATTTTGTAAACTTTATAAGGTACCACTGTTATCTGTCCAATGTTATGTTTCTGCATGAAAATGTACCAAGTCTATCCAAATACTACTCATAAAAACGAAGTAGATGATATTACAAAAATGACTTCCAATATCAGTAAGGAAACTACAAACTGGCAGAGGGTCAAAAGATTTATTGTCATGAAATTGGGTGCCAGTGTTTGCACAAATATTGTGTAAGATGGATGTGGCAAGAGAAATGTGTGATTTTTACACCCTTTGATTTTCTGATCTGACAGGTTGCCAGACGCTGTTGGTCGGGTAACGACTATGCATATGAAACGATCTGCCAAGCAATGAAAGAGAACACCACATTGAAGGTGACTCTCCCTCACAAGGTGGTGGACGAGAACATCTTGGAGCAAGCCCTGAAACATTAGTGGTATTCCTAGTGCAATGTTGTCCTTGCAGACACAAGTTGCTTTCTTGATATCCTATTTTGTTCTCTGGCCAAATGATAAAAGCCTTGCAAATGTCTCTTCCATGTGAGTTCTTTTTTTCCCACTCTAACTTGTTAATGGGGCAAACCTGTATCTGTCTGTGACAGGTCCAGTGATGTCAGGAAGTCTTTTCACTGATGTATTTAGAATGATGTTTGCAATAAGAAGCTATTCATTGTAAGGAAAGGAACTGGAATTTTGTCCCTGAAAATTAAATTTAAATAATAATCAACTTATTCCTGATAATTCATAAATTAAGGAGGCTCTTAGGTCTGGTAGATCAAATGTGGAATGGAAACTGGAACTCTTCACTCTAATTCAGAGTCTGCTGCTATCAGCAAAGAGCCATGAAGTCCAGTAGCCAAACGTGTGTGTGTAACCCACATGTAACTTCCTCTTCAGCTGGTGGAGGATGTACTGATATCACGTGCGAGGCTCAAGCTTTTCTATGTTGCCATGAAAGCATTTGGTGATGGCAACAGAAAGCAACAGATCAACTGTAACTGGTTAAGCGCAGCTAGCCTGCGTTTTTCCATGAAATTTTCACCCAAGATTTGCCCCACAAGCAGGAACAGAATCCAGTGCCAGGTAAGTGGGTGGAAAAGCCTGAGAGCAGTAAGTACTAGAGCATTTCCAAACATCTTACAGCAAGGCCAGGAAAACATGGAACAACTCATGACAAATTAGCGTGAGCCAATGTCTGCATGAGTCTGAGATGATGCCATTCTGCTGAATCTGCTGTTGTGTACACTTTGCTGCCTCACAACCATGAGTTTGTTCTTCTGTAGAAACCCATTGCACTTGAGCAGCTTCTAAAGGGATGGAGAACTCCAGAAAATGTAGAACCTTAGTGCTGGCTCTTGCTTTTTAATGAAAAAACATGGGCTACTCACTCCTGTGGATGTGAGTGGTGCAATTAGTAGAACACTGTAACAAAATGATCATGTGGACTTTCCTTCTGAAATAAAACACAACTGATGTGAAACAAACTAAAGCACCAAAGACAAGACAGTGTGGACGTCCTTCACACAGAAGTTGATCATGAAGTAAAATAGAGATGGAAAGGGCTTTTTGGTCTCCTTTCTTTCCAGGAAGAGTTACGAAAGCACAGAACCCGGTGTGCCTAGATGCAACTGAAAGAATGCATATTTTGCACCTGAACCTACTATTATGTTTGTGTTAACAGTAACTCACTGAAGTATTTTGTTCTAATTAGTTGTGATACTGAACCAAAAATTGAGGCTTACTTTGAAGCCCCTATACACATACATATTGGCAGATACATATGTATATATGTTTCCAAAACATATTTTACATACATATCTATATAGGGGGGTGTGTGTGTACAAAAATAACTCTTAGCTATCACGTCTTATGCTAAGCATGGCCCTTGCATATAAGCCTCATTCCGACAGGAACACAAAGCATCAGCAACCCCTGTCCCAGTGTGCACGGGGTGTTGGACTCTGGCTCAGTCTCCTTGGCACTGTATCTGTTACCCCTCAGAAGGGAAAGGGGTTACACAGATAACCTGCGTTGCCTGCTGCAGATGAGGTGTGACGAGCTGCAGTCCTCGGGACTGTGGGTTCTCAAGAAACTATACAACTGTCAGACCCTGCGGTACTTGCCCAGTGAGCACACTCTGCAACTCTGTATTGCCTCTGGTGCCAAGTGATTTTGAATCACAAATCAGTTCTTTACTCTGTTCACGTACTGCGTATGTCTCCAGATGAATAGTGAGAGCCTGGCATCTGCTTGTAACTGAACCTTCTGTGAAGCGCAATCTGCAGCTGACTGGAATTGCTTTATATTATGGAAAAAATGCCAAGTCACATGATTGACATGTGAGCAGTTGTCAGCCAGATTTGACAGCCTTTGCTTTGACATATGTTATGCATTACCTATTATTAATAACCACACTGGACTGAGTCAGGAGCTTGGTGACGAAGGATAATTCATGCAGGACACTCGTAATGCTCTGTAACTACAGTGGCTTTTAAAGGTAGAAAGCTTGTGACATGAGAGCGCTGCTAGCTCTCCTAGTTAGGGTCTTGTTGAATCTCTCCACGCTGTGGCAAACATAGGGATTTGTGGCTTGGTGGGTTTTTTTTTTCCTCCTTCGGGTTTGACACCCTTCAATCAGGGATGCATCTATGTGTCAAGCAATAAACTCCTAAGCAGACCTTTCATTTCCTAGGAATGTGAAGGCAGGTACTGCAAAGGCTTCTGCAGAGAGAGCAGGAGGTCTGGGAGCAGCCAGGAACAGGAATGACCCCCACCGGGTGCCAGTCAGCAGTGGGGCAAGGGGGCTTTCAGGGGAGGAGGCCGAGCTCAGGCACCCAGGGACCTCAGGCTCCGGAGAGAGGGCTGTGAAGGCGCACACTGGAGCTCTGGTTGTACCTGCAGCTCCGGGGCAAGCAGCACCAGCTCCCCCAGAGCTGAGGGCACCTGGCCAGCAGTATCCCATCCGTGCTGCTGGAGATTTGACGCAAAATTGCTCAGCGGCCAGGAGAAATAATTTGCCCGGGGAAGGCTCTCAGCACCCTCTGCTGGGACTGCTGGCGGGGGCTCGTGTCATTCCCACAGCAAATACAGGGTAATTTTCCCTCTTCCTTAGGAACTGGAGTGCCAGAAGCCTGCTGGACACTCTCCCAAAGAAAGCTTTGCCCAGGAGTGAAAAAAAACCACAAACCAACCTGTTTTACGCATTGGTGGAACTGGTAGGGGTTTTTTTGCCTGGGTTCACCGGCCTTTGGCTTTACCAGGTCCCTCGGGAGCCTCTTCCCTCCCCTCCATCCTTCTCGCCAGTGTTTGTCCCTCTCCCCTCCCCCGCGCCCAGCTCTACCGCCCTCCCCGGGGCTGCGCGGCTCCGGCCCAGCTTCGTCCTGGCCGTTA